ATCTCTACCAACGAGCAAAAGAATACTTGCATCATTGTCCATTGGTGGTATGAAAACATCCTTGAGGTGGTCATAATTCCTAACAACCTCTGGCGTAGGGATTTCATCCCTTAGGTCTGGCACCTGATTACACTCGATCAGGTTGGATGGTTTAGTGTATGTCCACCTTTATGTGGGGACACAACTGCACATTAGAAGACTGTTCATTCCTAACAGTTCTATCTACTTCGGTTTTCTTTGCAAAGACTCTTGTCTTGGGATGCATAGTTGGAGATTTGTCCATCTTCTCCGGGGTTATATTCTGTGATTCATACATGAAACTGGGGTCATTCCTGATACGACTCATGTCCCACACAAATTGTACGAAGTAACCAAAAGGAGGAAATGGAACCTGATATCTGTCCTTGTGTTTAGAAGCATGTGTTCTCCATTTCTCCTGTAAGCCATATGGGAGCTTTTCTACTATGGGCCCTACTCCAGAAGAAGAGTCAAAACTAGCAAACACAGATTTCAAAGATTCATTTTCTGTTGCTGTTTCTACTTCAGACAACAGGTCAGATAGGTCATACAGTTTCTTAGAGTCTTTCATTGTTATTCTGGGGAAATCGTTCAACCTTTGCTTCAGGGAGCTTTCAATCATCTCCGGCTCCATATCATTGATTTAGTCTTTCCCATAGCAACCGTGAGACCCGTTCCGATTGCTGACATTAGACGCATGGATACTTGCAGCCTGTTTTGAAGTCTCTGGTCCTAACCACTTGACAAGGAGATCAAGTTCCTGAGCTGGGGACACTTCTAACTCATGCATGACACTAATGAAGCCAGCTTTCCAAACTGAAAATGTCTCTGGGGACTCATCGTAGGTTGTAAGTCGAGACAAGAGAATATCCTTCTTCAGTAGAAACTTTCCAAGCTCTGTGGATGGATAGAAAGTTGGAGAGTTAGGATTAAGTGTATGACTGTTCACTTTGGGTTGCTGCTGATGTGACGGTTGTGTTGGCCTATAGTCCTGATCACCAGTTCCACCTATCACATCTCCTGTATGACTGTTCACTTCAGGTTGCTGCTGATGTGACGGTTGTGTTGGCCTATAGTCCTGATCACCAGTTCCACCTATCACATCTCCTGTATGACTGTTCACTTCGGGTTGCTGCTGATGTGACGGTTGTGTTGGCCTATAGTCCTGATCACCAGTTCCACCTATCACATCTCCTGTATGACTGTTCACTTCGGGTTGCTGCTGATGTGACGGTTGTGTTGGCCTATAGTCCTGATCACCAGTTCCACCTATCACATCTCCTGTATGACTGTTCACTTCGGGTTGCTGCTGATGTGATGGTTGTGTTGGCCTATAGTCCTGATCACCAGTTCCACCTATCACATCTCCTGTATGACTGTTCACTTCAGGTTGCTGCTGATGTGCGACGGTTGTGTTGGCCTATAGTCCTGATCACCAGTTCCACCTATCACATCTCCTGTATGACTGTTCACTTCAGGTTGCTGCTGATGTGGCGGTTGTGTTGGCCTATAGTCCTGATCACCAGTTCCACCTATCACATCTCCTGTATGACTGTTCACTTCGGGTTGCTGCTGATCGCGATGGTTGTGTTGGCCTATAGTCCTGATCACCAGTTCCACCTATCACATCTCCTGTATGACTGTTCACTTCAGGTTGCTGCTGATGTGATGGTTGTGTTGGCCTATAGTCCTGATCACCAGTTCCACCTATCACATCTCCTGTATGACTGTTCACTTCAGGTTGCTGCTGATGCGCGGCGGTTGTGTTGGCCTATAGTCCTGATCACCAGTTCCACCTATCACATCTCCTGTATGACTGTTCACTTCAGGTTGCTGCTGATGCGATGGTTGTGTTGGCCTATAGTCCTGATCACCAGTTCCACCTATCACATCTCCTGTATGACTGTTCACTTCGGGTTGCTGCTGATGTGACGGTTGTGTTGGCCTATAGTCCTGATCACCAGTTCCACCTATCACATCTCCTGTATGACTGTTCACTTCGGGTTGCTGCTGATGCGATGGTTGTGTTGGCCTATAGTCCTGATCACCAGTTCCACCTATCACATCTCCTGTATGACTGTTCACTTCAGGTTGCTGCTGATGTGACGGTTGTGTTGGCCTATAGTCCTGATCACCAGTTCCACCTATCACATCTCCTGTATGACTGTTCACTTCAGGTTGCTGCTGATCGATGGTTGTGTTGGCCTATAGTCCTGATCACCAGTTCCACCTATCACATCTCCTGTATGACTGTTCACTTCAGGTTGCTGCTGATGTGATCGGTTGTGTTGGCCTATAGTCCTGATCACCAGTTCCACCTATCACATCTCCTGTATGACTGTTCACTTCAGGTTGCTGCTGATGTGGCGGTTGTGTTGGCCTATAGTCCTGATCACCAGTTCCACCTATCACATCTCCTGTATGACTGTTCGCCGGGTTGCTGCTGATGCGATGGTTGTGTTGGCCTATAGTCCTGATCACCAGTTCCACCTATCATGACTGTTCATCTCCTGTATGACTGTTCACTTCAGGTTGCTGCTGATGTTCACTTCAGGTTGTGTTGGCCTATAGTCCTGATCACCAGTTCCACCTATCACATCTCCTGTATGACTGTTCACTTCAGGTTGCTGCTGATGTGACGGTTGTGTTGGCCTATAGTCCTGATCACCAGTTCCACCTATCACATCTCCTGTATGACTGTTCACTTCAGGTTGCTGCTGATGTGACGGTTGTGTTGGCCTATAGTCCTGATCACCAGTTCCACCTATCACATCTCCTGTATGACTGTTCACTTCAGGGTTGCTGCTGATCGCGATGGTTGTGTTGGCCTATAGTCCTGATCACCAGTTCCACCTATCACATCTCCTGTATGACTGTTCACTTCAGGTTGCTGCTGATGTGACGGTTGTGTTGGCCTATAGTCCTGATCACCAGTTCCACCTATCACATCTCCTGTATGACTGTTCACTTCAGGTTGCTGCTGATGTGATGGTTGTGTTGGCCTATAGTCCTGATCACCAGTTCCACCTATCACATCTCCTGTATGACTGTTCACTTCAGGTTGCTGCTGATGTGACGGTTGTGTTGGCCTATAGTCCTGATCACCAGTTCCACCTATCACATCTCCTGTATGACTGTTCACTTCAGGTTGCTGCTGATGCGACGGTTGTGTTGGCCTATAGTCCTGATCACCAGTTCCACCTATCACATCTCCTGTATGACTGTTCACTTCAGGTTGCTGCTGATGTGATGGTTGTGTTGGCCTATAGTCCTGATCACCAGTTCCACCTATCACATCTCCTGTATTACCGTTATGTTCCTTAATGTAGTTCTTGACCCTTCCTGCTGAGTCCTGTTCTGGCAAATGTTGAGCCCTTGACTTGACTGATTCATTTCCCTCTCGCTAACCACTATCTTAGGGACTTTGCCACGGAAGAAGTCACCGGAATACATCAAATGGTCACTTGGTTGTAGCGCAACAACTGACAGTGCTGGCGAGAAGACAAGCATATACAGTGAAGCCCCGTTAGTCCGGACCCCGATAATCCGGATGTCTCGCCTCCTGGACGATTTCAGCTTGTTACCAATCTATGCCTATTTAATTTGCCTCGATAATCCAAAATTTGGTTTTCGGATCTGGACGGAAAGTAGCTGTAACCAATCAGTAAAATAAACAGTAAATTCCTTCACAGTCCAGACGCTGTAAGTCGTGTTCACGAACCGTAATAACACCTCCCGACGATGTTTACTTAACTGGCCTCAAACAATAAACACTCGGTGTCATGGAGTTGACAAGATGAACTCTTGTTAACTTTTGATAAATGTCTATTAAGGGTTGTTGTTTTACTTAGACATTAAAAGCTCCCGACTGATGATGCTGTACATTTATAGTTTGATTGGCACCACAATACAAAGGCGTGGATGGCAAGTGAGCTGGCCTCAAATTGGTTAATGTACTTTGACAGACAGCAAGTCACTTAAAGTGATTTTGCTTCTCGATTAACGCTGCAAGTCACAAGTGTGCTTAAATGTGACCAAATACTATGTCTCATATTCAATCGATGGATGGAGGAATAATCCAGAGTCGTGTCGCTTTTGTAATAGTAAGGGAAGTTGCTTCAACTTGGGTCTTGATTCTTAGTCCGGACGATTTGCAATCTGGACGAATTTGCTGAGAAACACAACCGTCCGGATTAACGAGGCTTCACTGTATCAATAATCATGTTGGTTCGTTGAAGTTGGGTTACTAATCATAACCACTGACTGAGAGCCCATGGCCACCTGTTTTACAAGATAAATCAGACCACGAGTGATATAGTCTAGTTAAATTTACGAGCTATTCTTAACACAGAGACTGAACAAAGACAGACAGGAATCGAATGCTACACACATCTTTGAAATACACAAAATCCTAAGATTTACTTCTTTTGGGAAAAGAGAAGGTGGTACCCTGCTCATCTACATCAAGAGGATTGAAGAGCTCACTGTTGATGGAACAGTAAGGATGTATCCAAAATTAGGTGCTGACCCACTGCCTACTGACATGCAAGGAAATAAATATGTGTCTGGATAAGGAAAATATGAATTTTTTGGATAAACATGATATTTTAAACTTATCCTGACTGATAGACACAGCACTTACCCAGCAATACCCATGCTACACTAATGTTGGCAAACAGCAGCAAATTGGCTCAAAATGGAGAGAGTGATGAGATCACCAAGTGGGTTGCTGGTGCGCATGTGCGGGAGGAGGCGAGTTTGGGTGAGATGTTTTACTGTTCTTGGGAGCAAGAACACAGAGGTTCCCACTACGTTTCGGGCAATAGGAGAGAGAATCAAATAAATAAGAGTCAGGATAACTATAAAATATCATTTTTATCCCCAAAATACATGTACTTTTTGCATGCAAACTGTTATGGGTTTTCTACAGCCACTTTGTAGTTAGGTCGAGACCTTTTCAGCCACCTGTCTTTGTTTTTTAGGACCTGCGTCTGAGAGATGAAGAATGTGAGAAGCTGTCCAAGGTTCGGGACCAGATGGAAGAAGAGCTTGATGATCTGACAGCATCTTTGTTTGAGGTGGGTTCTACTTGATGTGACCCGTGAAGATCCGGGGTAGAATAGGTCTTCAGCAACCCATGCTTGCCACAAAAGGCGACTATGCTTGACGTAAGAAGCGACAAACGGGATCGGTTGGTCAGGCTTTCTTGCCTTGGTTGACACATGTCATTGGTTCCCAATTGCGCAGATCGATGCTCATGGTGTTGATCACTGGATTGTCTGGTCCAGACTCGATTATTTACAGACCACCACCATATAGCTGGAATATTGCTGAGTGCGGCGTAAAAGTAAACTCACTCACTCTAGTTGATGTTATGATACACATCACACATGTAATAGCTGGAGATGTGATATATCAGTGTACATCACACATGTAATAGCTGGAGATGTCATATATCAGTGTACATCACACATGTAATAGCTGGAGATGTCATATATCAGTACACATCACACATGTGAATAGCTGGAGATGTCATATATCAGTGTACATCACACATGTAATAGCTGGAGATGTCATATATCAGTACACATCACACATGTAATAGCTGGAGATGTCATATATCAGTACACATCACACATGTAATAGCTGGAGATGTGATATATCAGTACACATCACACATTTAATAGCTGGAGATGTCATATATCAGTACACATCCAACATGTAATAGCTGAAGATGTCATATATCAGTGTACATCACACATGTAATAGCTGAAGATGTGATATATCAGTGTACATCACACATGTAATAGCTGGAGATGTGATATATCAGTGTACATCACACATGTAATAGCTGGAGATGTGATATATCAGTACACATCACACATGTAATAGCTGGAGATGTGATATATCAGTGTACATCACACATGTAATAGCTGGAGATGTGATATATCAGTGTACATCACACATGTAATAGCTGGAGATGTGATATATCAGTGTACATCACACATGTAATAGCTGGATGATGTGATATATCAGTGGAGATACATCACACATGTAATAGCTGGAGATGTGATATATCAGTGTACATCACACATGTAATAGCTGGAGATGTGATATATCAGTGTTCATCACACATGTAATAGCTGGAGATGTGATATATCAGTGTACATCACACATGTAATAGCTGGAGATGTGATATATCAGTGTACATCACACATGTAATAGCTGGAGATGTGATATATCAGTGTACATCACACATGTAATAGCTGGAGATGTGATATATCAGTGTTACATCCAACATGTAATAGCTGGAGATGTGATATATCAGTACACATCACACATGTGAAAGCAAGAGATATACCTGTGCCTCTTTCTTTGACCAGGAAGCCAACAAAATGGTTCAAGAGGCCAACGTGAAGAGGATGCATACAGAGAAGCTGCTAGCTGAGTCAAATCAAAAGGTTTGTGCTGAAAGAGGAATGTTAAATGTTATTGCCCAGTCTATTATTCTTAAGTTTACATGCAAGAATTTATAAGTTAAAGTCACTTGCTGTGTTGTTTGTTCAATACCACACTCAGCAATATTCCAGCTATGTGGTGGACCAGATAATCCAGTGATCAATATCATGTGCACAGATCTTCGCATTTGGGATATGATGACATGTGTCAGCCAAGACAGCGAGCCTGACCACCCCATCCGTCATCTCTTCCAAACAGCATGGGATGCTGAATACCAGTTCTAACCCAGACGCTGTGTTTCAGGCTGAAGTACTGTAGGCTGAAGTGGTTCCCAATGTTGTGTTTCAGGCTGAAGTACTGTAGGCTGAAGTGGTTCCCAATGTTGTGTTTCAGACTGAAGTACTGTAGGCTGAAGTGGTTCCCAATGTTGTGTTTCAGACTGAAGTACTGTAGGCTGAAGTGGTTCCCAATGTTGTGTTTCAGACTGAAGTACTGTAGGCTGAAGTGGTTCCCAATGTTGTGTTTCAGACTGAAGTACTGTAGGCTGAAGTGGTTCCCAATGTTGTGTTTCAGACTGAAGTACTGTAGGCTGAAGTGGTTCCCAATGTTGTGTTTCAGACTGAAGTACTGTAGGCTGAAGTGGTTCCCAATGTTGTGTTTCAGACTGAAGTACTGTAGGCTGAAGTGGTTCCCAATGTTGTGTTTCAGACTGAAGTACTGTAGGCTGAAGTGGTTCCCAATGTTGTGTTTCAGGCTGAAGTACTGTAGGTTCCCAAGTTGTGTTTCCCAAGTTGTGTTTCAGGCTGAAGTGTGTTTCCCAGTTGTGTTTCAGACTGAAGTACTGTAGGCTGAAGTGGTTCCCAATGTTGTGTTTCAGACTGAAGTACTGTAGGCTGAAGTGGTTCCCAATGTTGTGTTTCAGACTGAAGTACTGTAGGCTGAAGTGGTTCCCAATGTTGTGTTTCAGACTGAAGTAGTACTGTAGCTGAAGTGGTTCCCAATGTTGTGTTTCAGACTGAAGTACTGTAGGCTGAAGTGGTTCCCAATGTTGTGTTTCAGACTGAAGTACTGTAGGCTGAAGTGGTTCCCAAGACTGAAGTGTTGTGTTTCAGACTGAAGTACTGTAGGCTGAAGTGGTTCCCAATGTTGTGTTTCAGACTGAAGTACTGTAGGCTGAAGTGGTTCCCATGTGTTGTGGTTGGGCAGTGAATAAGAAGTACTGTAGGCTGAAGTTGTTGGCAAATGTACCTTGTTCCAAGTTGTATGATGGAATGTTGTGTTTCAGACAAAATACTCTTTGTGTGAAGTTGTTCCAAATATTGCAAGATGGCAATGTTGTGTTTAAGATTGAAGTTCAGCAGGCTGAAGTTGTTCCCAATGTTGTGTTTAAGATTGAAGTACTGCAGGCTGAAGTTGTTCCCAAAGTTGTGTTTCAATGTTGTGAAGTACTGTTCTGCAGGCTGAAGTTGTTCCCAGTGTTTTAGGATGGCAGTGTTGTGTTTAAGATTGAAGTTCTGCAGGCTGAAGTTGTTCCCAAAGTTGTAAGATGGCAATGTTTTGTTTCAGCAGATTGAAGTTCTGTTGTGTTTCAGGTTGAAGTTGTTCCCAATATGAAGTGGTGTTGTGTTTAAGACTGAAGTACTGTACACTGGGGTGGTTCCCATATGTTGCAGGTTGACAGTGTTGTGTATAAGACAAAATACCCTAGCTTGAAGTTGTTCCAAATGTACCTAGATGGGAATGTTGTGTTTAAGACAAAATACTCTTGTGTGAAGTTGTTCCAAATATTGCAAGATGGCAATGTTGTGTTTAAGATTGAAGTACTGCAGGTTGAAGTTGTTCCCAATGTTGAAAGATGGAAATGTTGTGTTTAAGATTGAAGTACTGCAGGCTGAAGTTGTGGCCTTGAAGCAGCTGGTTCTCACGTCAACACCCAGCTCCCCAAACAAGCATCTACATCCCCAGATTGCAGATGCCAAGGAGAAGAAAGTCAGCAAGCCATTCTGGAAGACACATCGACGGTCCACCAGTCACCACGAGTTTACAAAGGAGTCTCGACAAGCAGCTGAGGCACAGCAAAACCACAGCACCATACACTGCAAAGATGTGAGTCAAAAGGGAGTTAAACTTCAAACAAGAATTTTCATTGTTAGTAATTAGCTTGAAGGCGATGTGTCAGATGTATAAATAACAGTATCTTCTCCACATTGGGAATACATCAAATTTCAAAATGCAGCAGGTATATATCCATTCTACCATGATGGCAAGAGTGCTTTGAAAACAGTGCTCTCTTTCACCACATAATTACACATGGGTACAGAGATCAGCTGTCTTTTAGAAATTCTGTTAAGGTTTCCCAGGCAGTTATAAATGTAACAAATATCAGTTATAAATGTAACAAATATCAGTTATAAATTTTACTGAATTGTGTGTGTTCTGGAATGGTTTTCTCCATGTTCAATAAGCTGTTACATCACTGAGACCACTTGGAACACTTAGAGTTCTCGTTACACCAAAATACTTAACAAGATCAGCATAGATCATATGGGCCTTCTGTCAACTTAAAATAACCATTTTGCACATGCAGGTGGAAAGGCTGCCATCTTAGGTCCCACTTATACAATTATCATTTGTATTTATCCAGACAATGTCAGAGACACCTGACTCCTCTATTATCATTACTGGCTATTTACAATACTCAGTTTCACTTTATTTAAGAAATACAGTTCACTCTAACCCCATGTACAGTGTTCTTATCCTGACTCATGCTTATTGCTTATCTCCCTTCGACTGTTAAGTGGAAAGACTGCCTCCGTGGTGTAGTGGTTAGAGCTTCCGCCCGGAGAGCGGAAGGTCGTGGGTTCGATCCCCGACCACGTCATACTAAAAGATGTTAAAATATGGTACTTGTTGGTCCCTGCCTGGCGCTTGGCATTAATGGGTACAACAAGGACTGGTCGGCTCGGAGTCAGTATAATGTGTCTGAGTGGGGTATTCATGCTTCACTGCGGCATGGTATCTCAGTGGGCTAGCACTATAAAACCAGCTTAAGTCTGGGCTAGTACAAGCAGCCGCACATACACGTACACATGCATGCACGTCGTCATGTGAGCAAAATATTCTCAAGCACGACGTTAAACCCAATTTCACCTCACATGTTAAGTGGAAACTTGAATCCTATTCAATTCCCTGAAGCGATCGTACAATCATTCATTCAGAGTTACCCCCTTATTCCCACCAAAACGGTCCAACATGACCTGAGCCCAGCTCTCATCACTCTCTCCTTCATCGCCATAGCTGACGGTCGGGCGGTCTTATGGGTCGTCTTTGTGGCACATATCCTTATGTTTTCGGCCTTATAATCTAAATTAGTGGCCGGAATTGTATTTAGATTCATCACAATGTATTATATCATGTATATTTTCACTAAAATCTGTGTATTTACACTCCGTTGCAGGTGGGTGTTTACAAATGGTGGCATGCTAACAGTGCAGATTTCGTCTGTCTGCAGCCAATCCATGCCCTGTTTGCCTCTCTTGCTGCCTTCAGTCGTGCTCAAATATTGTGCTCATTTATCAACAGATTTGTTTAATAAATATTTACCCAAGGTATCAGATAAAGGAAAACGTATCAACAAGGCAGCAGTTGTGAGGGGTGATTCTCAGGCTACGGAGAGTGAGATGTCACAGCGCACTATGGAGAATTCCCCATCTCTGTCGCTCTTACAGAGACATCCACGCAATCTACTTCTTTGAGGAAGTCACCTCATAAGGAAGAGACTTGAACTACAGTGGTTGGTGAAGAAAAAGAGAGCGTCTAGATTATCTAAGAAATCTACATCTGCGAGATCTATGTCATCTACTCCATCTACTAGATCAGAGAGATCGTCGAATGCCCCTACAAGGTTCGAGAACGCCTTGTTATGTCTCGACAGATCACCATCGGTTCAAGAACCTCAGATCATCTTGATGACATCACAGACTACATCTACTAGTACATTCGTCTCATTGCTGATCGTCGTCTACGACATCAGGGTCGGCGAACCCTACTAATGATAATCAGCGCACTTCACCATGACTACCGTATTCTACTACCGTATTCACACATTTCACGAAAGGGTCCGCAAATCAGTCGACTGTGGCTTTACAGACGGAAAGAGAATTATCATATGAGGAAGAGTACTCTCAACAATGGAGATCGTCATCTCATCGTAATCATCAGCGAAATACATTGCAATCTTGCATGAACCCTTCGAATTCGATGAACCAAGCTGTGGATCAAGATTTTGTGGCTAGCATTACGTGCTAAGTAGTCTTGGCTAGCAACAAAGGTCGTCAGAGAATCAACAATCGATTACTCAACCTACACCTACGGCATCTATCACTTAGTCTGTCCACGAGGAAGCACCAGCTTCAGATACGAACGTCCATTAACCAGATGATTCAACTATATACCCAGACTCTGAAGTATTGTCTTGGCTGATGGCATACCGATATCTTTGCCAACTCACAACTGGACATATCATATCGCTGACAATCCCACCTATAAAGCCGATATCTCAGGTTTCATCGAACCTCCAGTCAGCATTCTCAAATGCTACTAGACGTCAAGGTTAACATACGCCAGCATTTAATGCAAGACAATTTCCATTACATAGTATGGAACCATTCTTCAGCGCGACGATTTTCATCTCATCAACAACTCCCAAGTCTCACATCTACATAGTAGAGGATAGGAAGTTGGCGAACCTAGATACTACTACTAGGCATATGTTCTTCGGACTAGCCAGATCTAGAGCTATCAACTAAGCCCAAATCAACAACTTCCAGAACCCCCCAAAAGAGACAGAGAGAATGATATTATCAGCACTCGTCACTCAAAAGAAAGATCAGGAGTTTATGTCCAATCACCTGGCATCTACATCGACGGATTGACTTTACTTCATCGACAAGGACTCCTTTCATCCTGCAGTTGGCCAGAATATCACATTAAGACCCTCTTACGTCAACCACGGGCAGCATCCACATTGTTTGATGGTGACATAAGGACAGCATCGTGGGAAGTATGCCAGCATCCACATTGTTTGATGGTGGCATAAGACAAGTCATCGCGGGAAGTATGCCAGCATCCACATTGTTTGATGGTGGCATAAGACCAGCATCGCGGGAAGTATGCCAGCATCCACATTGTTTGATGGTGGCATAAGACCAGCATCGCGGGAAGTATGCCAGCATCCACATTGTTTGATGGTGGCATAAGACCAGCATCGCTGGAAGTATCCACATTGTTTGAGTATGCCAGCATCCACATCCACATTGTTTGATGGTGGCATAAGACCATAAGAGCATCATGGTGGCATCAAGACCAACGGGAAGTATGCCAGCATCCACATTGTTTGATGGTGGCATCAGACCAGCATCGCGCGGAAGTATGCCAGCATCCACATTGTTTGATGGTGGCATAAGAACAGCATCGCGCGGGAAGTATGCCAGCATCCACATTGTTTGATGGTGGCATAAGACCAGCATCGCGGGGAAGTATGCCAGCATCCACATTGTTTGATGGTGGCATAAGATCCAGCATCACCAGCATGGGAAGTATGCCAGCATCCACATTGTTTGATGGTGGCATAAGAACAGCATCGCGGGAAGTATGCCAGCATCCACATTGTTTGATGGTGGCATAAGACCAGCATCAGCATCCACATTGTTTGATGGTGGCATAAGACCAGCATCGCTGGGAAGTATGCCAGCATCCACATTGTTTGATGGTGGCATAAGACCAGCATCGCTGGAAGTATGCCAGCATCCACATTGTTTGATGGTGGCATAAGACCAACATCATCGCGGGAAGTATGCCAGCATCCACATTGTTTGATGGTGGCATAAGACCAGCATCAGCGGAAGTATGCCAGCATCCACATTGTTTGATGGTGGCATAAGAACAGCATCGCGGGAAGTATGCCAGCATCCACATTGTTTGATGGTGGCATAAGACCAGCATCAAGGGAAGTATGCCAGCATCCACATTGTTTGATGGTGGCATAAGACCAGCATCAAGGGAAGTATGCCAGCATCCACATTGTTTGATCGCGGGGAAGTGGCATCAGAACATTGTTTGATGGTGGCATCAGAACAGCATCGGAAGTATGCCAGCATCCACATTGTTTGATGGTGGCATCAGAACAGCATCGCGGGAAGTATGCCAGCATCCACATTGTTTGATGGTGGCATCAGAACAGCATCGCGGGAAGTATGCCAGCATCCACATTGTTTGATGGTGGCATAAGAACAGCATCATCATGGAAGTATGCCAGCATCCACATTGTTTGATGGTGGCATAAGAACAGCATCGCGGGAAGTATGCCAGCATCCACATTGTTTGATGGTGGCATAAGACCAGCATCGCGAACAGCATCGAAGTATGCCAGCATCCACATTGTTTGATGGTGGCATAAGACCAGCATCGTTTGCGGGAAGTATGCCAGCATCCACATTGTTTGATGGTGGCATAAGATCAAGAACAGCATCATGCAGCATCAGGAAGTATGCCAGCATCCACATTGTTTGATGGTGGCATAAGACCAGCATCGGCGGGAAGTATGCCAGCATCCACATTGTTTGATGGTGGCATAAGAACCAGCATCATTGTTTGATGGTGGCATAAGGGAAGTATGCCAGCATCCACATTGTTTGATGGTGGCATAAGACCAGCATCGCGGGAAGTATGCCAGCATCCACATTGTTTGATGGTGGCATAAGACCAGCATCGCGGGAAGTATGCCAGCATCCACATTGTTTGATGGTGGCATCAGAACAGCATCGCGGGAAGTATGCCAGCATCCACATTGTTTGATGGTGGCATAAGAACAGCATCGCGGGAAGTATGCCAGCATCCACATTGTTTGATGGTGGCATCAGAACAGCATCGCGGGAAGTATGCCAGCATCCACATTGTTTGATGGTGGCATAAGACCAGCATCGCGGGAAGTATGCCAGCATCCACATTGTTTGATGGTGGCATAAGACCAGCATCGCGGGAAGTATGCCAGCATCCACATTGTTTGATGGTGGCATAAGACCAGCATCGCGGGAAGTATGCCAGCA